TTTCATATGGAGTTTTCTTTAAAATTGGCCTAATCATTACTCGATTTACAACATAACAAGCGGTATTTGTGGCTTTAGCCCAAAAAAATTTTGGCAAATTATTTTCACAAAGCATGGTTCTAGTCATTTCTTCTAAAGTTGGATTTTTCCTCTCAACAACTCCATTTTGTGAGGGGTTCTAGGTGCTGAAAAATTGTGACTAATACCATTAGAATTACAAAACTCAGTAAATCCAAGATTTTCAAATTCAGTGCCATGATCACTCCTAACACTAGTTATAGAGTAACCTTTATCGTTTTGGATTACTTTTAAAAATGTGATGAATTTTTTTAATGCTTCATCTTTAGTACTTAAGAATAGAACCCAAGTATATCTAGAATAGTCATCTACCAAGACAAATGCATATTGTTTTCCACCCAAGCTAGTAGTCCTAGTTGGCCCAAAAAGATCTATATGGATAAATTGTAATACTCTACTAGTTGATACGTCATTAATGGATTTAAAAGAAACTCGCTTTTGTTTTCCTTTAGCACAAGCATCACAGATTTTATCATTATCAAATTTAAGCTTAGACAACCCTCGAACTAAATCACCTTGAATTAGTCGTTGCAAAACACTCATACTAGCATGTCCTAGTCTCCTATGCCATAACCAACTATCATGTTCATCCTTAGCAACTAGGCACAAATTAGTCATATCAATAGAATCTAAGTGCACCATGTATATGTTTCCTATTCTATGACCAACAAGCATAATCTGATTAGATGCAATGTCAATGACTTTACAACCATTAATATCAAACATGACATTGAATCCCTTATCACAAAATTGACTAATACTCAATAGATTATGCTTTAATCCATTCACATATAAAACATTCTTAATTTGTATGGAAGAGGTATTACTAATAGTACCAATACCTTCAATGTGACCTTTTGAATTATCACCAAAAGTCACTTCTCCTCCATTTTTGGCGTTAAGCTCAATGAACCGATTTTTGTCTCCGGTCATGTGTCTTGAGCATCCACTATCAAGGTACCATGAATTTGGATTTGTTTCCCGTGCCTTGTAGCAATGCTCCTTTTTCCTACAAACATAGATTAATTTCTAATTTTTTGGTACCCAAATTCTTTTAGGTCTATATTCATTAGTTTCCAAAATCCTAGTCCCTTAGGTATCCATTTGTGTAGGATATCCTTATCTTTAGTAGTAATGAGCTCTTTAGGAACCCATATACTTCTAACGATTTTTCCATTAGAGGTTCTTTGGGGACCTCTATGATTGTAGTTTTTAAAACTTTTTCTAACAAAGTTGGATTTTGAATTTTCTCCATTTTCAAAACATTTTGTTCCAACTTTATCAAAAGAAGTTTTAAGATCATCAATTTTCTTTTGATGATCATCATTGACCTTTGAAAGTAAATTTTGCAAATCCAAAATTTTCTTTTCAAACTCTTCTAGTTTTATTTGCAAATCTTTGATTTTACTTTCAAGATCGTTGTTGGTTTTGGATATGAGTTTATTTTAATTTTTCAATTTTGAAACATCATTTTTATATTTTAAAAACAATTTCTCATAATCCGTAACCAACCCATTATATTCCTCTAATAACTCATCATAGGATAAATCATCAAAATCAGATGAGTTAGAGGTTACCTTAGAATCTTCCCTGAATGCCATCAAGCACAAGTTTGCTACTTCTTGTTCCTCTTCATCGGAACCTTCTTCATCGCTCTATGTAGCCACATGAGCCTTGTACTTATTCTTTGATTGACCCTTTCTCTTCAGTTGTGGGCAATCATATTTGACATGCCCCGGCTTTTTGCATTAATAGCAAATGATCGGGTCCTTCTCTTTTGGTTCATTTTTGAGGTCTTCATTTCGTTTGAATTTTCTTCCTCGGTAAGGTCTCATCATTTTTCTGAACCGTTTGGCAAACAATGTCATTTCCTTGTTATCGTCATCTTCATCTTCATCCGAATCACTCTCATTTTTTGTGGATTTGAGAGCAACTCCAATGTTTTTCTTTTTCTCCTTCTCCTTTGGTATCTCTTCAATCTTATCAAGGTCCACCTCATCTTCAAGCATCATTTCATGAGTGAGGAGTGAACCGATTAGCTCTTCAAGAGTTAAGGATGTTAGATCCTTAGACTCGATGATTGTCGTCTTCTTTGATTGCCACGATTTTGGGAGGGAGTAGACTAACTTCCTCACAAGCTTTTCATTTGAAATGATCTCTCCATATGATTTGAGACCATTGACAATCGTTGAGAATCTATCCGTCATAGCTTTGATATCTTCATTTGGTTTCATCCTGAAATTTTCATAGCTATGCGTTAGAATACTAATTTTAGATTTCTTTACCTCATCGGTACCTTCATGAGTGACTTGAAGTTTGTCCCATATTTCTTTGGCGGTTGTACAAGACGAAACTCTTCCGTATTCATCTGGTCCAAGAGCACAAAATATGATATGGATGGCTTTGGAGTTGAGCTGGAACATTTTTGTCTCTCCTTCACTCTATAATCTTGGATGAGTGAGAGGCTTGAAGTATCCTTCTTCTACGACATTTCATGCTCCCATGTCACTTGCTTGAAAGAAGTACATCATCATATTTTTTCAATAGGCATAATTAGCCCCATTAAAGAAAGGAGGCTTGTTGACGGGCATCGAATCGAGACCGGAGTCAAAGTTTGAAGTAGAGGCCATTGATGACTTTGATTATCGATATAACTCTTCCCGAATCGACTCAAGAGGCGATTAAACCTTCAAATGAGTTAGGCTCTGATGCCAATTGTTGAGTTAATCGATTGACATAATTGGCCAAGAGGGGGTGAATTGGCAATAAAAATTTTGGTGGAAGCTTTTGCAGAAAATTGAAAGAAATTGCACAGCGATTTAGAGTGGTTCGACTTTCTCAACCAAAGTCTATGTCCACTACCTTAGCTATCCACACTAAGGATTTTCCACAAATTCACTAATTTGTCTTTCTTTTGAGGACAAAGAGTAACCTTACAAACCCTCAAGAATTATACCCCAAATTCTTGAGAACACTCTCTCCCAAAGAGAACAATACAAATTCGCAAACTTACAAGGAAATCCTCATAAGGTAGATTGTTTGCACAATTCTAGAACAAAGAAAATAACACTCAAGAATGAATACAATTGAGCACAATAAGTGTTCTTGAAAGCAAAATGAATATTGAATGAAAAATAGGCTTGAAATGCTCAAACTTGAGGTTTGATGCTTTCTCTTTGATTCTCTCTTGATTCTAGTTGCTTGATGTTTCTTGTTATTGATCAATGGCTTCTAAGCTTGCTTAAATACACCTTGAATCACTTTTGAATATTGGGGATCATTAATGAATATAATATAGCCGTTTTAGTGTGAAATCAATTAATAAAATAGTTTGGAGCGTGGGGGAATCGGTACCCCTTAAGAGGAATCGATTCCCTAAGTGTAAAATTCAAATATTTCGACCGTTAAACAGGGGGAATCGGTTCCCTCCAAGCATACTGGAATTCTCGGAGCCAAACCATTCAGGGGGGAATCGGTTCCCTCTGAGCAATCTGGAATTTTTGGCTTTGAGATGGTTCGAAATATTTTGTAAAATCGTTTTGAAATTATTTTAAGATTAAAACTTAATTTTACACTTGAGTAAGGATTAAAAATGATATTTTAAAGATTTGGAGTAATATTTTGATATTTGAATAATTATATCGAATATACTTAGAAAATCTTTTTGGAAAATCTTAAAATTCATTTAACTTAATTTGTTATATCGAAATATCAAAATGTTTTCAACAGTTTCCCTTACATATTCCTAAACATATTATTTCTTGGATGGCTTTGTTGGGAAGGCTTCCCTCGGGTGATAGACTGTTGTGTTGGGGTCTGCAGGTTTATGGTATGTGTTGTATGTGTAGGAATGTACTGGAAACCATTGATCATCTATTTTTTTAGTGCCCCTTAGCTAAGGATAACTGGCATACCATTTTGAGTTTATGTGGATTGACTAGGAGGGTTGGGTGTTGGAAAGGGAAGAATAAGTGGGCTATTGCAAATTTCAAGGGTAAGTTGTTGCTCACTCTCCTTCTCAAGTTAGCTTGGAATGCTCATATATATCTCATTTGGGAGGAGAGGAATCGTAGCCTCTATCAACAAAAGGTGAGGGGTACTGTTGATATCCTCTTCTCTATCAAAGAGGTTGTTCGGGTTAAGTTACAGGGTAGGAGCATTGCTAGGAGTGATAATGTGAACATGGGGCTTTATGATAGTTGGGGGCTTTCTTACTGAGGGATTTATTTTTAATGTATTTTCTCTAATTTTTCTTCAGACTGTTGCGTATTTTGTATCAGCCTTGGCTGCTTCTTTGGGTAATACAAAAACAATTAACCAAAAAAAGACTTTAAAAAAAGACACGATTCAGAATTGGCCTAATTGAACCGAGAAAATTCGATTTCGATTATAATTAATTGATTCAATTAACCTCAAAATGATTCTCAATAATTTCTCATCTTAATATTATATAATCAGTTTATCAATGTATAATTATTGTTATATGTATTTTTACATTGATATTAATAATAAAAAATTTACTGAACCGAGTTGGTATTAGAGTTTGAACTATAACCTATTTCCATCCATTTCATGAACCGGTTTGACCGAGATCTTAAAATAGTAAAATACATGAAAGATGTAGTGCTTTTAAACGGGTTCTACGGATTATGAAAACAAGGATGGTTTTAGTTTTAACGATTTTAGCATTGATCACCAGGTGTTTGATAAATTGCCTCAATAAACTGAAATGAAATTGTATAATATTTGTGAAGTGACATTAATCATTGAAACAGAAGATGGTATTTAGATGCTCTAATCTTTCTGGAAATTACTGATCTTAAATGCAAATACCAACACCAGACAGACATACAATGCCATAAACCCTACAGTCTAAACTCAAATTCCGAAACCCGAACAAGTTCGTCAAGACAATGCTCGAAAGGGGAAACAAAGTGCAAAGTAATTAAACAAATGGACACAATTTATACACAAAATTGACTCTTTTAAGTCTCTAACCCTCAAAAACCAGCTAGAAAACTTAACTACACACACCCTGAATATATATACTATAAGCTTTTAAACTACATAGGTTTGCTAGCACTTTAAAACCCCTTTGTGCTTGAACCTTTCCCTAAACGTACTTGGATATATCACAACAGAGTCTAAACAAAGACCACCCTTTGTATGCGTGCAGTCGATTTGCGTCATCGATAGCTTAATCTTCGTCGACGAATTCGAGTTATCGACATTGAAGTCCCCCACATGGTAGTGAAACCATTTTCCAGGTTCGTTCAAAGTGCGCTGAGAGGTAGCATACTGGCCATCTGAAGTCCATAGTTGAAACCTTACGGGTTTTATATCCCAACCATGGACATTCTCGGAGTTGATGATTTGGCGACCAAACCATTTAGAGGCACGACCTAGCTGCAGTCTGAAGAAAACGCTATAGCTTCCAGGTGGAAAGGGGAATTCCATCTCCCCATCGACTTCAAGCCACCACATCTGCTGGAGATATGCGATCGAACCGAACCTGAATCGCAAAGAAAAAAGAAATTGAAGTGAATATCCTGCATTCTATTTCAATACCATCGATTACAACAATCATTCCCACTTTCAACCAAGTTCAAGCTTCATCCTTACAGAACTATCGAAGAGAAAATATGTACGAGATTAATGAATTTCAAATGAAGTCAACCGGCAATGAGACATTACTTATAGTCTACCATAAACAATCAAAACAAAGTTCATAAATCACGTAATTCTTGGACTCTAGCTTGTATACAACGTTAATAATCAACATTGTCTTAATACTATTTAACAGTAAAGATGAGGGAAATCCTCATTTTGTGTACATACGCATTTGTTAGTTACTAGAACTTCAAGGACCAATGAGATAACAACACTATGAACCATACAAAACTGAAGAATTCTAACAGATCTCTAACCGATTGTGTAAGAAAACATAGAGTTTATGTAAATAATGGGTTAAGAGGTCGTCCCCGGAACTATAGATTTGGAAAGTCAAACGCAGCTGCTTTAAATCACCAATACAAATCTAGTCTAGGCTCTAGCTATAGGGATGAGTAAACCATGTATGAGGCCAAAAGCAGTGAGCAGCCAGCCAAGAATTGTCTTTGTTTGTACAAGTCAAGATTTTTAAAGAACAAAAGCCCTATTTAAACAATCATCATCATGCATTTATTAATGAAAATCCGAGGATTACATCGAAATTTAACAGTAAAAAACAAACAAAAAAGAACACGCTTGGTATCAATTCGGATTGTTATGCCCCGAAAGCTCTTGATTTTGATCAGCCAGTCTAAAAAATCCATGATAAGAAACTAGAAATTCTACCATTCTCGTCAATCTAATATGAGAAATACATGCAAAAAAATAGGGATAAGCTCCTGAATCCTCACCTAGATTCATCAGTTGGAATATGATTCCAGTATCTTCGATCATCAATCCCAGTTATATGTAATCCTTTTGAAGATATTGCCATACATACACCACCTGTGCTCTTATCTAACCATACTTTCTGCAAAAAAAAAAAAAAAAACTGGAGTTAAATTAAGAACACAACTAGATTATTAGTAACGTTTGCTGTGTTCTTTTGAAAGATTAAAAAATCCACGAATAAATTTATTAAAGACTTCATGAAAAGAACCAGTCCACAAGAAAGTCAAAGACCAAGAAATTAAAATCCCAGATTTTCTCGGCATCCAAACAAAAAATAGGCCAAAAAACAGAATAAAAAACATGCCTTGGTGCTACCATCAAGAGTATTAGCTCCACAGAGCCTTGAATAAATATCTCGTTTACCCAGATTTTCAGGCACGGAGGGAAGAATTTTATCAATAAGAACTTGATAATTGGGTGGAAGCTTCGATTCCCAAACAAAATCAGCCCAAGAAGCACCTCTGAATGCTCTGTTCAACTTCGCCAGTTTACATATCTCCGGAGGATCCAAAGACTCAATAATCGAAGCCACACAGCTCTCCGGCAAATCCCCCAAACTGGGCGATGACGATGAAGAACCAGGTGATAAACAGTCGATGATGAACAAAGCAGAGAAATTGACACCCATCGAGAGAAAAACAATAAAACAAAAAACAGAGAACTAGAGTTCTAATGCATAGTACTGATTTTATAAAAGAGTGGGAGAGAGAAACATGGAGGCGTGCTTGGTTTTTTGAGGATCTTTGTTTCTTGTTTCTGGCTTTTTGTGTATTATTTATATTTGATGACGAGAAAGGGCAACAACATGACAGGGAAGACCTTCGTTTTCCTTTCCGATGGTCTATGGGGCTGTTGGATTTTGATCTAATCCATATACTATTATTATTATTAGGGTAAAGTATAGTAATGGTCACTGAACATTTCTGAAGCTTGCATTTAGGTCCCCCAACTTTTAAAACTTGCAAGACAGTCCCCCAACATTTATTTCGTTTGCAATATGGTCCCCCAACTGTTAGAAAAGTAGAGTAAATTATATAAACGGTCATTGAACTTTTTAGGCACTTGAATTTAGGTCCCCAACTTTTAAAATTTTCAAAACAGTCCCCCAATAATTTTATTTTCTTATTAAATATAGATGTATAGAAAATATAAATGATTCAATTTATATTTAAATGTATGAATCATTTATATTTTTGATATATTTTATTTTTCTTGTATAAACTAGTATTTAAAATATGTTTATATTTTAATCAAAATATTTCAATATACGAATAAAAATATATTTATATAAATGTATATTTATATTTAGATGTATAAATAAAAAAATATATTCATATATTAATGTATGAATCATTTATATTTTTTGAATATTTTATTTTTAATAAGAAATTAAAATTATTAATTATATTAGAAATACTCAACTTAAGATTATATATATAATCATGAATTATAAATATGAAAAATATAAATATTAAATTTAGTTTAAAAATATATAAATCTTAAATTTATTCTTTTAAAATATTGTATCAACTAATATTTAAAAAATATATTAAATCTATCAAACAATTTATCAAATATAATATTTTTTATTGTAAAAAATATAATATTTTCCCATCATTTATTGCTTTCAAATTTTTTGCCGAAGTTCAAATCTCATTATTTCCGTTTTCCATTATATTCTTTTTTTCTGGCATTGGTCATACTATTAGTATATGTATTATTGTATATCTCTTAACACAAACGATGGTGTTAGCTTAGTGGCTCCACCCTGTATCTTTCATTTGCGTGACTCAGGTTTGAGTTTGCCCAAGACCCAAATTTTACTTCTTTGTAACTTAATTTTCTTCTAATTAGGTGGTGACATGTGTCACCAATAACATATATCATGATCATGTGTTAACATATGTCAGATCCTGGTTAAATGATTAATTTATTAAATTTTATTTAATTTAGGACCAAATTGATAGCATATATAAATAATTAGGCGGTGACATGTGTCACCAATGACACGTGTCATGATCATGTGCTAACACATGTCAGATCCTAATTAAATGATTAATTTATTAAATTCTATTTAATTTAGGACCAAATTGATTATATAAATAATAAAAATTGAATGTATAATAATGTCAATTCCTTTTAACTGCCACTTCATCATTTGTATCAATTGGTAACGACTAGTGGCTTAGTTGAAATAGTTAAATAATTATGTTGTATGATTGATAAATTTAAAAGATCGATGACAAAAGTAAAAAGGGCTAGATAGTTAAGTTGTCAACCTAGTAGTTTACACTTTTATTTATACGTCAAAATAACATTTTATAAATTTAAAATTCGAATTATTTTCAACCTCTTCTATATCCTAACTACTTTTTTTAATTAAAATTTTTTTTCAACAGATAAGAATTATACTATTATATTTATATAAAAAATACGTATCACATGAAATAAGATGAAATTAAATAATAATAAATCTGACATAATTGAATTTAATTGAATTATTTTGGAATTTAGGGTTGAGAATGAAATTGAATTACTTTGGAAATTGGGGTTTAGAATGAAATTTAGGATTGTTTTGCAAGTTTTAAAAGTTGGGGGACCTAAATTCAAGTGTCTGAAAAGTTCAATAACCTTTTATATAATTTACCCTAATTTCTAACGGTGGTTTAAGTTGGGGGACCATATTGCAAACGGAATAAATGTTGGGGGATTGTATTGCAAGTTTTAAAAGTTGGGGGACCTAAATGCAAGCTTCAGAAATGTTCAGTGACCATTACTATACTTTACCCTTATTATTATTATGAAAAATAATATAAATGCACATTATGGATAAGGATTTACCCTAAATCAAAACTTAAGGATATTAATTACAAGGGATTTATAATTGATCTAATCCGGACCTGGGCTTAATAAAATAGTACATTCGTAAAATTTTTAGGGTAAAGTATATAACTGGTAGTCGAGTATATGAAGATATTTTATTGAGTCATATTACTATTAAAAATTATGAAACGAATTTCATATATAGGATGTTTTGTTGAGAAGTTGCAAAATAATCATTTGTTTATCTATAAGTTTCAAACTAGGTCTTTTCCATTAAAAATTTAATGATCGTCAAAGTAGAATGTTAACTTACTAATTAAGATATTATCAATAACAAAATTGACGTCGTGTCGGCCAACAAAACTAAAAGAAAGACGGAAAACGATGCTTAATTAGAAACTTATTAAGTGATCTTAGTGATAAAAGAAAATATTATTCTTTTGAGAGATTCCGTATTCAAATGATTACATCTATAAGATATATGTATCCTAATAATAAATTAAATAATTTTTAAATAAATATTATCTTATAATCTATTATTAAAGAAAAATTATTATATAAAAATTGCTAAAAAAAATACTATGGGTTTGAAAATTGGAGATCTAATGCTTAAAACATGGCCCACTGGTACTTGCTAGCAAAAAATGATCACATTAATATATCACCACTTTAGAAAGAGAAAATAACCTTAGTGACCAAAAATGCCTTATAATATACGATTTTAATCAACTTTTTTTAGATTTGTCAAAATGACCAACTAAATCGCAATGCGATCGATAATTCGCATCGTGATCTCCGGTATCGCAAATCAGTTTCCAGATTCGCAACGCGAACTTCGACTATCGCATTGCGATTTACATATTCGCATTGCGATAGTCCAAGTTCGCGTTGCGATAGTCGAAGTTCGCGTTGCGATTTATTCCAAATTTGTTGCAATAGTTCAAGTTCGCGTTGCGATTTATTACAAATTCGTTGCGATAGTCCAAGTTCGCGTTGCGATTTATTACAAATTCGTTGCGATAGTCGAAGTTCGCATTGCGATTTATTCCAAATTCGTTGCGATAGTCCAAAATCGTAACGACTGGTGGTATTGCATTTGTTTCTTAAGAATTTTCTCTAAAAAGATAGTATTCGCGCGGACGTGTCGAAGACACGACCACGACCACGACCCGAGACGAGATGGACGGCGGCGGCGCGCGAGAGTCCCCCTTGTTCTCTATCACTCAACAAGGAAGTGGGAAAGCCAAGCCTTAAATACCATTCTCAATAGTGTTTCCAATACTATGTGGGATTGAGCATTACCAACACTTGTTTCCAATACTATTTGATTATTCAGAAAACAATTAACAATCATGCACCTTAAAACAACTGAATCAGCAACCAATTGCATTAGTATTATACGATTAAATATGTCATAATTAAAAGTCAATCTACAATCAATCGCGATTATTGCAATTTTAAGCAAAACATTCAAAAAAATTGCATCACTCGCGAGAATAAAAAAAATTGTTATCGTTCAATTACAATCAATTGAAAATAAATTAGAATTGCATGAAAACTAAACGAACCACAAATACTTTTCATACAAATACTAAAGTCATTAACTATAATTCACAAATAATATCACTATTTAAGGCTCAATCTCACATAGTATTGGGAACAAGTGTTGGTAATGCTCAATCCCACATAGTATTAGAAATACTATTGGGAATGGTATTTAAGGCTTGGCTTTCTCACTTCCTTGTTGAGTGATAGAGAACAAGGGGGACTCTCGCGCGCCGCCGCCGCCGCCGTCTCATCTCGTCTCGGGGTCATGGTCGTGGTCGTGGTCGTGGTAATACGTGTCTTCGACACGTCTGAAGCGAATACTATCTTTTTAGAGAAAATTCTTAAGAAACAAATGCAATACCACCAGTCGTTGCGATTTTGGACTACCGCAACGAATAAATCGTAACGCGAACTTCGACTATCGCAACAAACTTGGAATAAATCGCAACGAGAACTTCGACTATCGCAACGAACTTGGAATAAATCGCAACGCGAACTTCGACTATCGCAACGAACTTGAAATAAATCGCAACGCGAACTTCGACTATCGCAACGCAAATTTGGAATAAATCGCAACGCAAACTTCGACTATCGCAACGAACTTGGAATAAATCGCAACGCGAATTTGGAAAATCACATTGCGATAGTCGAAGTTCGCGTTGCGAATCTAGAAATTGATTTGCGATACCGGAGATCGCGTTGCGAATTATCGATCGCATTGCGATTTAGTTGGTCATTTTGGAAAATCCAAAAAAAATTGGTTAAAATCGTATATTATAAGGCATTTTTTGTCACTGAGGTCTTAATTTTACAGCTAAGAATTTTATTTATTTTTCAAAAACAATTTAAAATGTCTTTTTAGTAAAAATAATATTATAAAAATTTAGTTTTTTTATTAGTATGAAATGAATACAAAATATACATGTTTAAAAAAAATTAATTATTTGACAATGAACATTCATACGCCTTGCACACGTTATGTTCAAACTCGAGAAATTAAGGAATAACATCAATCCCATAACCACTAAAATTATTGCCATAAAAATTTACATTAAAATATGTTTAAATTTATGAATTTACATTATTGAAATTAAGTTTGAGATTTTGTTATATAAAAATGAGTATGATAATAATTTTATAACTTTTTTAATTAAGCATACAACACATATACTTTTAAATAATTATATTTAAATTTAATTATTTGATGATTTTTCTATTCCAAAAAAAGGTAAAAAGAATAATAAATATCAATTGTAAAGCAAAATACCAAATGAAATTATCTGTAATTTAATAAATTTTCACATAAAGCATTGGATAAGGTAATGGAAAAAAGTAAAATGGATATGATCAATTACAAACTCATAATGCAAGAAGTTTAGACTGAATTAGGTCTACTTAAAAAATATAATTTAAATTCAAACGAACCCGTTTCAAATTATTATTTATTTATTTAAAATTTTATTAAATAGTAAATTTGAATTCTATCACACTTATGGTGCGAGTAAAAATAATCATATATTTAAAAGAAATTATTTTTATTTTTAATTAATATTTTAAAAACTTTTTTTAATTAAAAAGATGCTAAAGATTATTTTAGTGAGCTTTAGATTAGTGCAATAATTAATGTTGACATGAAAAGGACTTTAAATTCTCCAATCATCCGTGGAATTCCGTAACACTAGTTTTGATAATATATTTTAATTATACCCTAAATAAAGATAAAAATAATTAAAAAGTTAGCTACACGAACAGCATTTTTTGTCATTCTATTATCAACAAATTAATACATGGAATCAAGATGTATAAAAATTTTATTCTTTAGATAATTTAAGAAATACACACAACTTATTATTTTTTTTGGGGTTATTCATAGAAAAAAGAAATCAGAGAAGATTATTGATGATATATTTGTAAAAAAAAATTATTCATTTTTTTTAAAATCTATTGAAGAATCTTTTAACTATTTGAACAAAATCTTCGATAATTAAATAATAGGGTAAATTACACGCTTATTTACTGAACTTTACTATTTCTCCTATTTCACTCACCGTACTTTCAAATTTTTTTAAAAATTTTCTCACTAAACTTTAGGCATTAAACTTTTTGGTCACTCAACCGTTAAATTTCTAACGGCGTTATGACGTTGTTAAATTAAAATTGAAAAAGTGACAAGTGCAGTGAGTGAAATAGTAGAGAGGGTAAAGTTCAGTGACTAAACGTGTGACATGTTTTATTATTAAAATGAGTCTCGTAAGCACCCCGTTACTGAGTAAACGGTCGAGTGACCAAAAAAGTTTAATGTCTAAAGTTAAGTGAGCAAATTGAAAGTACGGTGAGTAAAATATGAGAGAGAGTAAAGTTCAATGAGTAAACATGTAATTTACCCTAAATAGTATTGTATTTATAGGATGTTTTATGTTGTCGTTTTAGTCTTATGCATAGACTAAGTCGTTTCTTGGTTGAAAGGAATTACGATCCCCAAATTTTTGATAGAATAACACTCTAGGTTTTTGTTAGTTTAAATATTAGTCAAATAAGATATTTATTATTAATTTTTTAGATTTAAATATTTATTTAATCATCATCCATCATAATATTTTACCCTAATTATGTATGTTTGTGATCTTATAAATTTTATCTTTCAACTCTTGAGAGAGTATCAGTGGCACTCATGTTAAAGAGAGCGCGATTTTATAAATTGTGCAGTACTTATTTTTATAACTTGAGCTATTACGTTATACTTAATTGAAAGATTTAAAAATTTGAAGGGTCAATTGACATTTAATATTGCGATTGGTGACGGATGGCATTAAGGGAAATCCAACCTGCCCAAGCAAACTACATCGTTAATTGCGGTATTAAATGTCAATTTTATAATTTAAGATAATTTATAATATCATATAATTTATTATGGTTATTAGATTTTTCATAAACCATAAAGAAATTTGGAACTTTAAATAAATATTTTAGAATTTTGAAGTACCAAATTGTCACATTTCAAATTCGACAATAGCTTATTAGGCATTTACTATTTACACCTTAAAAAAGCATAAATCAATGACGAAATATTAAAATCTGTCCTGACTAGGGGTGCTTAATGAGTTGAGCGGCTCGAACTCGGTTAAAACTCGATAAAAATTCGACTCGGGTTGACTCGAGCTGAACTAGATAAATATTTAATATGTTTATTTCATAACTTGATGGGTGAAACTATTAAGCTTGTTGAAACTTTAAAAAGCACTTCCATCAAATACAAGGATTACATTTTGAGATATATCGTTCTATTTTCTAAAGTAGTAATATTCATAGAGAATTATTCTTAAAGTAAAATGTATTCAAAATTATTAAATTGTATAAAATAAACTTGAACAACAATCTTTCAAGTAAATATTGAACTTTTTTATAAAATAATCTCTTGAATACTAAAATAATAATATTTATTTTAAAACATTTTAAGGATCGTTGATAAAAAAAGAGTCAATTTTATATAACGATCTTCAATATGATATACTTTAATTCTTAAGTTTACGAAAGATAATTCATAGATTATTGAAAGAAAATATCTCGATTCTCGACCCTTCCCAGAAGAAAGGGTTTTAGAAGAGCACCTACTGTTTGCTGAGGAAGACGGCCATAATGATTTGGAGAAAGAAGACAATTCAAACAGCTTAGTTTTGATGCTGACGTTAACGGCTCATCGTACTGAAAAGTAGGCCATGCCCACCAACTTGTTATCTGTTTTCTTTTAGCGTACGAGATACCAGGTCCATTACGAGACTGCGTTTAAGGTTTTTCACGTCATCTTTTCATACCGCTGAATAATTTAAAGAGAAATGACATGAAAAGACAACACTTTCGTTGATATTTTTTAGGATTATAAAACTATCTTCATGCTTATATGTAAAAATAAACATATGTATCTTGGGAATCAATGTCACGTTTAAAGGTTTGAATTTAATGGCTGATAAAAACAAACATATGCATACAGGACATCAAAAAGAACAAGACGTGCTTGTTGCTTTGTTATTTTCGAGTAAAGCAAAACCATGATGGTCTCAAAGAGCGCAATGTTCATCAATTACAAGATAGATGGGGTTGTAGATGTTTGAACTCCAATACTGTACGATGAATTTGCTTCATGACAAGTAATGCTTTACCCTTTCAGTACCATAAAATCAACTATCCTGTATTTTCTGCCACGCAGAAACCCTAAAGAAATTCCATGGTTTTCAATACACTATAATATTCATGTACCATAAAATCAACTATCCTGTATTTTCAGTACCAAAACTAGTTTTTTTTTTCTATAATATTCATGTAATGGTTTGGATTTTATTAGACCAGCTCAAGAAAAAGGGCTTCTTGTTTGTTTGTTAAACTGCTCTCTCCGTCACCGAAAGCACGCCTCGGGTATGGCCTCACCTGTAGCAAACGATAAAATATAAACCATGCATCTATCTAGATTTGACATGAAGCCAACATCACTATGTAACTTGGCAAAAAGCTTGGGATGAAAATTTTACCAATCGGTAAGTGCCCTGCTTGACTCCTCTTCCGATATCTATGTAGCCAAATAGAGACTGCGAGGCATAACAAAATCAGGTCAAGTATTAAGCCTACTGCACAAGGAAAAGCGATTGAAGTGAACGTTTATTGACAAAATTTACATGCAGCCTGTCAGACTTGAGAAATAAACGGCCCCTACGACTGCCATCTGGCATTCGCACTGGAAGGTTTACTGCATTTTTCTCATTGGCTGATGGCTCCTGAGGTAGAGAAGCTTCTTTAACAGCTAACTGTCTCTCACATTCCTGCAAGACCAAGTAGAATGCAATTTGTATCATATTCAGTAAGAAATCCACGGGATGACTTGAAATAATGTTGACAACAATTTGTTCAAGATTTACAAGTTTGTCTTTGCTCCGTCAGTGCATGTGTCAAAGTTTGTTTTACATACAGTACATGTTCACTGGTAAAATCTTAATTTTCCCATGATATCATAGACTAAACAAGTAAAGAATAAACTTAATGTTAGAATCTCATCCAGGTCACGGATGATCGGAGCATAATTAATTACCTGTTTCCTTTGTTGTTCTTCATGAGCAGCTTTTCTAGCTGCTTCCTCCTCTAAATGGAAAACTTCAGCTTGTTGAATTGCCTTCAACTCTTTTTCTCTATCTGCTTGCAATGCTTCATTATACTCATCATCCTGAAAGTATCATGTACGCAAGAAACTATTAGACCATTATTTCTGGCCCAAAATTAGAAACATATAACTTTCTGCCAGGGAACAAATAAAAAGGAGAAAACTAAAAACTAACTTGCTGTTCCCGTATCAGGCGTTGAGCAGCCAAAGAGGGTGATGGAGGACGAGGGGGCACGCCAGGGATTTGAGCCCTCAGGTTGAATGAACTGATGAGGTGCATAGGCAAAACGATATCCACTTTCAGGGATTCCACCAAACATTGCAGCCTCAAGCATGACTGTCCATCATGTTCCGCTGAACAGATACCACCCCACTATGATATGGTACAGAGCACAAACCAAAATTTACTTTAGTAAAGCACACAGGTGAAAGGAATTAATTAGAAGAAAAAGTCTTGAGCAAATAAATAGAATAGAACGTAAGTTTGAATCTTTATTTGGCATTGCAAAAATTATGAAAGGTTTTGATAGGGAAGCGGTGACGGGTTAATGAACGTTGCTCTTGTTGAAGAATCAAACCTAGAAAAGATCTAGACTCGATGAAGAACAATAAGGGATGAATCGGGAAGGTGGCGGCAATAGATAGGGTTTTTTTTGGTGCTGGAAACAAGATAAAAATAAGATTAAAACAAGATAAAGAAAAGATAAATGAATTGCAAATAAAATAAGATAACCAAGAAATCAAAAGATCTCTCTTATGAAGGTGAACGATAAAGATGATTGATGACGTGGATGGATATGTAGAAAATCGATGGATAATGTCCTATCGAGCCCTCCTAGTCGCAATAAAAAGGCAAACACGATAATATGGCTCTAACCAACCCTCCTAGTCGCGATGAAAAGGCAAATTGGAGTGTGAAGATTAATCTCCCTCACAAGAACTTGAAAGAACTCAAGGAGAAGAAGCTTTGAAGGCACAAGGCAATCAGCAGTTGCAAAAACGAACTCTCGTTGTATTATTAATCAAAGAAATATGATTTACAAAGTTGAATGAAGCCTCCTTTATATAGGGGCTGAATTCTAAAGGTCCTAAATAACTAAAGAATAAAATATTAATAAACTAAACATGTTTTAACTCTAATTCCTAATAAAATAATAATAACTAAAAATATTGTTTTAACTTAACCTTAATTCTTAATAAAATAATAATTCTGATCCTAAAAGATAATTAATCATCCTATATTAAATTATATTACAAATAATCAATATCAATATTGAAAATTCGTAATATTTACAAAATAACGTATTAATCCCGTATAGGATTTCCTGCATGCACCGTCTTCAGTAAAATGGTCATATCTTGAGTTCCCGATATCGGATTGATGCTATTCAAGAACCGTTGGAAAGATAAGAGATAGACGGTTGTATCTCCAGAAGACATGTCGACCGTATAACAACTAGATCCCCTTCAAAAAGTTGTTGCAAATCTGCTGCTATTAGACCCTTACGGATGAATGCTTGAACTGCGATTTGAAGCTTGTCTTTAAGAAGTTTTATATGGCCTCGTGTGATAGGGCCAAGTGGTATAGTAAATTCATCATCCTTAGCTTTAGGGCATGTGGTGCATGTATCATCTCCCCCTTCCTTAAAAGGATTCGTCCACGAATCTAAAATATCAAAAGGAGATAAGTCAGAAACATTAAAGGATGCACTCACGTTATACTCACCGGGAAGATAAATGCGGTAGGTGTTGTCATTGATTCGTTCAAGGACTTGGAATGGGCCATCGCCTCATGGGTCTAGCTTGGATTTCCTTTGTGTCGGGAATCTTTCTTTTCTCATGTGAACCCATACCCAATCTCCTGGTTCAAAGGTGACATGTCGTCGGCCCTTGTTAACTCGGTTTGCGATTGCCTCGTAGGTTTTCTCCATCTTGAGTTTGGATTTGGCGTGAATGTCTTTGACAATGGCAACCTTCTTTTCACCATCTAAACTGACAACCTGATCTAAAGGTAAGGGAATAAGATCCAAAGTAGTTAATGGGTTAAAACCATAAACTATTTCGAATGGAGAATAACCTGTTGTGGAGTGAATGGATTGATTATAAGCAAACTCAACAAAAGGTAAACATTCTTCCCAATTAAGGGTATTCTTACCTACCACAGTTCTTAGCAAAGATCCTAGAATCCGATTTATTACTTCAGTTTGTCCATCGGTTTGAGGATGACAATAAGTGGAATAGAGAAGTTTTGTGTCAATCTTACCCCACAATACCTTCCAAAAGTGGCTTATAAACTTAGTGTCCCGATCGACACAATGGTGCGAGGAATGCCATGAAGGTGGACTATTTCTCGAAAGAATAAATCAGCAATATGTGTGGCATCGTCCGTTTTATGGCAAGGAATGAAGTGTGCCATCTTTGAGAATCTGTCCACAACCATAAAAATACTATCTCGTCCTTTCTTAGTGCGAGGTAAGCCAAGTATAAAATCCATCGATAAATCGATCCAAGGAGAAGAAGAAATTGGTAAAGGCGTGTACAAACCATTAGGATTTACCTTTGACTTTGCTTGTTTGCACGTGATGCATGATGCACAAATCTTTTCCACTGTTTTACGCATATGCGGCCAAAAGAAGTGTTCCATGACCATATCAAGTGTTTTGTGAATACCGAAGTGTCCCATAAGTCCTCCGGCATGTGACTCGTGAACCAAGAACTCTCGCAAAGAGCCTTGTGGTATACACAACCTATTCATGCGAAAAAGAAAGCCATCTACAAGATAAAACTTGTTAAAAGCACCTTTTACACATTGTTTATAAATCTCAGAAAAATCTGGATCGTTAGGATAAAGTTCTTTGATATGTGCAAAACCCAGAACAGTAGCATGCATTCGAGTGATACGTGTGTATCGTCGAGATAATGCATCAGCTACAATGTTATCTTTCCCTTGTTTGTATTTGATGATGTAAGGAAAAGATTCAATGAACTCAACCCATCGAGCATGTCGTTTGTTTAACTTACCTTGTCCATTTAACCATTTGAGTGATTCATGGTCCGTGTGAATGACAAACTCTTTAGGGAGAAGATAATGTTGCCACACTTCGAGTGCTCGGACGAGTGCAAGAAGTTCCTTGTCGTAGGTAGAGTAGTTCAATTGTGCACCTTTTAACTTTTCACTAAAGTAAGCGATAGGTTGTCTTTCTTGCATTAGGACGGCACCAATGCCTATGCCTGAAGCATCACATTCTAGCTCAAAGGTGTTATAAAAATTGGGAAGACGAAGAATAGGGGCAGAACATAAATTATCTTTAAGAAGTTCAAAAGCTTTTTGTTGTAGTGGTCCCCATTTGAATTCAACTGACTTTTTGATGATCTCGGTTAATGGTGCAGCAATGGTTGAGAAATCTTTGACAAAGTGATGGTAGAAACTTGCTAAACCATGAAAATATCTTACCTCGGTGATGGAAGTAGGAGTGGGCCATTCTTGAATTGCCTTGACCTTCTCTTTATCTACATGAATACCCTATACACTAACTATAAAGCCTAAAAACATAAGCTTATCACTGTAAAACACACACTTATCCATGTTAGCATATAAATGTTCTCGTCGAACAACTTCGAGAACCATTCGAACATGAATGACATGAGAATTAAGAGAAGATGAGTATATAAGAATGTCATCAAAGTAAACGACAACAAATTTACCTATAAACTCCTTAAGAATGTGATTCATTAATCTCATGAAGGTGCTTGGAGCGTTTGTGAGTCCAAAGGGCATAACAAGTCATTCATACAAGCCGAACTTTGTCTTGAATGTTGTTTTCCATTCGTCTCCTTCTTTCATTCGAATTTGATGGTAACCACTCTTCAAGTCTATTTTGGGGAAGATACTTGCACCATGTAGTTCATCCAACATATCATCTAGGCGTGGAATAGGATGTCTATACTTGATTGTTATCCGATTGATAGGTCGATAATCTACACAGATTCGGAATGTGCCATCTTTTTTTAGAACTAGAATGACGGGAACTGCACAAGGACTAAGACTCACGGATGTGTCCTTTTTGTAATAATGAATCTATTTGTCGTTCCAATTCCTTCGTTTCCTCAAGATTGCATCGGTAAGCGGGGCGGTTTGGTATGGTTGATCCAGGGATAAAGTTGATTTGATGTTCGATTCCTTTTGTAGATGGTAAACCATCCGGTGGGTTGCTTAAGACATCTTGAAACTCCTGTAATAGAGAAGAAAACACACTAGGCAATTCTGTGATGTTAGTGATAGTTGATAAAATGGAGTCCTTGAAACGGACTAGAATGCACGACCTATTTTGAAAAAGGGTCTCTCTCATATCTTTTGCATTCGTATAAATGTTTTGAGACACTCTTTTATTTTCACATTGAGGTTCACTCACCACCCGTGGGTCATTTGTTTGACTTTTATCAGTTGTGACCTCTTTTGCCTTTTGTTTCAAATTCCCTGTTTTCTTGAGAATTCGTTGTTGATCTATGAGAATCTCTTTGGGGGGTAGGGGGTTAAGTCGGAACGGTTTACCTTTTCTTGGAATTGTGTAAGTGTTCTTTCGACCATAATATGTGACGTCGTTGTCGTATTGCCAAGGCCGTCCTAGGAGAATGTGGGATGCTTGCATCGGAATTACATCACACCATACGTCGTCACAATACTTTCCCATCTTGATATTAATGAGGCATTATTTAACCACCTTCATCTCGGCACTCTCATTAAGCCATTGTAAGCAATAAGGTTTTGGATGTCGTTGGCAAGGAAGTTTGAGTGATTCAACAACGTTGGAGCTAATGACGTTGACACAACTACCATTGTCAATGATGATGGAGAATGGTTGTTCCTTGATTAGGCAGCGTGTGTGGAAGATGTTGGAACGTTGTATGTCAGACTCGTCGGATGCTTGGATGTTCAATGTATGACGGATCACCAAGATTGTGCCATTGTACTCATCGCTTCCATAGTCATCACTATCTTCTTTGGCTTCGACATGTACTGGTATGTCGGCGATGTCGTCATCGGAGTCAGAATTGTAAGATCCATCACCTAGTATGGTTAAGGTCCTCGTGTTTGGACAATTGCGGCTAATATGGCCTCTTTCTAAGCATTTAAAACACTTGATGTCTCTTGCTCGGGTGTCGTCTTTAGGGGCTGGAAGTGTCTCATTCTTTGCTGGTCGTTGTTTCTCTTTGTCGAGTTTGTCATCTCTCGATTTTTTTTGAGAAGATGGAGTAGAAGATGAGGAAGGATTTGAAGGATTACCTTGGTAAGAGAATGAAGTACCTTGGTAATGTTCTCTGAATCGGAATCTCCTTTGTATTTGTGCTTCGATTGTCATTGCTTTCTTCAGTGTATCTTCGAGGTTTTCATACCCATGGAGGTCAAGAAGATCAGTGATGTTTGAGTTCAAGCCGACGACGAATCTTGACATGGTGTCCTCTTCTTCTTCAGTTACGTTAGCCCTATTGAGTAAGGACTGCATCTCCTTGTAGTAATCTTCAACTGAACTTCTACCTTGTCGAAGTCGGTGTAGTCGTTGTTTAACTTCTCGTGTATAATGTGTCGGTAGAAATCGGTTCCTCATGGCATGTTTGAGTTCGGTCCAAGAAGTGATTGGTTGAATTTGGTAGCTGTCGATCTTTTTCCTTGTTTGCATCCACCAAGTGTGAGCATATCCTTCGAATTCCAAGGTGATGAGGGGAACTTGTTCAGCTTGGGGGCAGTCATGGTATGCGAACAAGAGATCAACTTTTCCTTCCCAATCGATGTACTTGTTTGGATCATAGTCTCCTTTAAAAGACGGGATCGTGAACTTTGGTTTTGCAAAGAGTTCGGGTGTTTGAAAACGTGGTTGTGCTCGCCTGGGGGCCAAAAGTTCAGCATTGTTTGGCCTTGGATTCTGGTTTGGTAGATCCAGTTGTAGTTCTTGTCGTTCTCTCAAGGCATTGTTATGTTGATCAAATTGAGTTGTGAGTCTTTCAAGTGCGGCTAAGATGGTCGTAAGTGTCTCATTGTTATTGTCGCCCATCCTGCAATTATAACACTCAAAAGAAGATTTTAAAGTAGAATAAAAATAAAAGAAAATAAATTTAACAAAGCAAGAAACCTCACAAGTCACTCAAAGAAAGTAACACAACGAGAGGCAAGTAAGACGATCTTTTACTCTTTAAAACTCACTTTACCAAGTAGTCTTTCACAGTTCGTATCGGAGTTTGATTACTAGCAAAGGCGATAAGAAAAACCTAAAAGCTCTAAGAGGCCAAACAAAAGTTAGACTCCAAGAGAACAAGAATGCAAAGAAGGAAGAAGTATGCAAACTCTTTAGTCCTACTAACAAAAGGAAGATAATGTGTTAGATAATGCAAAAGAACAATAACAGGGAAAAACAAAAGAACCTAAAACACTAAGAGTTAAAGAAAAAAAAGGACCAAACCAGAAAACCTAGAAAACGCTGGATCAACTTGAGAAAAGTTTTTGAGGGGGTTACTGGTATCCAAAAATTCTGTAAAAATTCTTGAATGTCTTTCGATGCATCAAGAAACCACCTGTAAAATTTCAGAATCAAATACCTTCAGTAGTATCCAGTAGACTCAGTTGAACGGTGAGTCCTCAAACAATCTATTTTTCTTGATCGCTTTGTTCGAAGTTGTTCTTGATCTCCAAAAATTCTTATTTTTTGTGTGAATGATCTAAAATATATGGAGTTTCAATCTGGAAATTTTCACCACAAAATTCCTTCTGTAGAATTTTCAAGAAATTCGACAATATTCTAGACCGAATCTGCCGATAAAACTTGAATGATGTATTTGAAAGATCTAATGAACTCTGACCGAAGTGAATTTTGGACTGGAGATTAAACTTAAGACGAATATGATATCTGGAGAAAATCAGCCCTAAATACCTTCGTTTGCAATTTTTTTTGAAATTTTGGCTTCTTTTTTTTGTTTTTGTTTTTTTTTGAAAAAAAAAATAACAAACTAACAAGAAGGATTTGAATCAAAATTAAAATTAAATAAAAATAACCTGAAACGATGAATCTTCTCTGAACTAGCTCTGTTGGGGTACCTTGACAGTGTTGTGTGCAAGAACAAACAAGATTGCTTGTTTCTTTCCAAGAATCGGCCCAACTCTGATACCAATTGATAGGGAAGCGGTGGCGGGTTAATGAACGTTGCTCTTGTTGAAGAATCAAACCTATAAAAGATCTAGACTCGATGAAGAACAATAAGGGATGAATCGGGAAGGTGGCGGCAATAGATAGGGTTTCTTTTTGGTGCTGGAAACAAGATAAAAATAAGATTAAAACAAGATAAAGAAAAGATAAATGAATTGCAAATAAAATAAGATAACCAAGAAATCAAAAGATCTTCCTTATGAAGGTGAACGATAAAGATGATTGATGACGTTGATGGATATGTAGAAAATCGATGGATAATGTCCTATCGAGCCCTCCTAGTCGCAATGAAAAGGCAAACACGATAATATGGCTCTAACCAACCCTCCTAGTCGCGATGAAAAGGCAAATTGGAGTGTGAAGATTAATCTCCCTCACAAGAACTTGAAAGAACTCATGGAGAAGAAGCTTCGAAGGCACAAGGCAATCAGCACTTGCAAAAACGAACTCTCGTTGTATTATTAATCAAAGAAATCTGATTTACAAAGTTGAATGAAGCCTCCTTTATATAGGGGCTGAATTCTAAAGGTCCTAAATAACTAAAGAATAAAATATTAATAAACTAAACATGTTTTAACTCTAATTCCTAATAAAATAATAATAACTAAAAATATTGTTTTAACCCAACCTTAATTCCTAATAAAATAATAATTCTGATCCTAAAAGATAATTAATCATCCTATATTAAATTATATTACAAATAATCAATATAAATATTGAAAATTCGTAATATTTACAAAATAACGTATTAATCCCGTATAGGATTTCCTGCATGCACTGTCTTCAGTAAAATGGTATATCTTGAGTTCCCGATATCGGATTGATTCTATTCAAGAACCGTTGGAAAGATAAGAGATAGACGGTTGTATCTCCAGAAGACATGTCGACCGTATAACAATTGGATCCCCTTCAAAAAGTTGTTGCAAATCTGCTACTATTAGACCCTTACGGATGAATGCTTGAACTGCGATTTGAAGCTTATCTTTAAGAAGTTTTGTCCGACCTCGTGTGATAGGGCCAAGTGGTATAGTAAATTCATCATCCTTAACTTTAGGGCATGTGGTTCATGTATCAGGTTTAAACCTCGTCAGAAGGGAATGCATTTCCATTGTTCAATGGGAGATTCCCTATGCCTTGCTGTCCGGGACTTGATGGTGAACTGGGCTCCACAACTCCAACTTCATTCGCAGATTCCCTAGACCCTGGCCTAACTAGACGCTGCTCATTCCCATCTTCAGCTTCACCTTGAATGGAAGAGCTTCCTTCCATTAACCTACATCAACTCAATTCAGCCAGCTATAAAATTAAGAGAAGGTATATAATAAACACTTAAGTTTGTACAATAACATAATGCCTATCGCTTGACAAGTGACAATGAGTGTACCTCCCACTTGAGGCTTGCATGTTTACAAGATGCTCCTCATCTGGTTTAGAAGCCTCCACTTCTGATGTTCCAGCACAGGAGCCCTGCTCACACAATGCCTTCTCTTGCTCCGCTGCCTGAATATTTTCATGTTAGTCAAAACGAATAGATTATTGGAGAATATGTGACCTGAACAAAGCACAGTACAACAAACCATCAAAGACATTGAAACTGCTTCTTCAACTGCAGCATTCTCTGAATGAGAAATATTATGCCAAGGCCCAGGATCACTCAACTCCTGCAAAATCTTGAAAACGCAATCCGTAAAACAAGCATTTACAGCGACTACAAGCATGAAGGGCACCACAGTAGCATCAAACTGGAAGCATCCCTTTTTTTTTCTACAAAAAATACTTGCCTCAACATCCCGTTTGGAGGCCTCAATGGCAGCTCGAATCATCTGTTCTTCAATGTCTTTCCCATAATCTGGCAAATCATCAAAAGCAGGAGCACTGGGTGTAACATGTCGGAAATTAGAGTTGTCATTCTGCCACATTGGCTGCACTGCTGAATCCTCATGCACTTCATCAATTATAACAGTCTCGTGGGAATTATGGCCACGAGCATTTTCAGTTTCAGAGACATCCTCATCAGCAGGAGCATTACCAGAATGACAGGATAACTCATTGCTATTCTTAACCTCTATCGGTGCCTCTCTCACATCCCTTGCATGTGTAATCAATGTCCCGTTTGGTACAACTTCAATTGCATCATCTGTATCCATTGCATCATCTACATGAACTGTGGTTGATGTTGGCCTTTTGCAGGAAACATGAATATATAAATAAATAAATAACGCTACAAACCAATAATTACTCATCCCCAAAAAAAGATTAGCGCAATTCACAAACATATACCTATCTCCTTCGCTGAAATGTGCATTTACAGCAGTATTGAGATCACCAGCATACTCCTGATCCCAATCGAAATAATTAACAGATAACCAAGAGATGTTATAGCTGACTCGACTTTATGATAAGATGCAAAGAACCCTAACTAACTGTAAGACTTTGCAACCCAACAAGACGTTAATTTGATAATAAGCAGCAATTTCCAACCACCATAAGCCATTGTCTTCAGAAACAAACAACGCTTCACAAACAGCAAAATGAAAACCTATGAATCTACTACTTAGAATTAAACCACAATTCAACCATCCTAGCCACATTCATTCAACAATGCCTATAGCTGCCAGTGTTTATAAGAGCATGACAAAATAATGGAGGTTAAAAAATCTTGACCATTTTCACCAATCAACATTGCATACATTTTTTTTTGTTGAATCCTTGAAGAAGAATACAACTCCAAATTAAAAACATTTACAACTTCAGCGCCTTTCCCCTTTCCTAGTGTCCAGTCAACCATCCATTTCCGTTGTTCCTTCTTTCCCTCTCAAATAAGCCAGTTCATTTGACTAGTATAAGTTACACCCAAGCAGAACAACTAATTGAAAGAAAAAAATAATGAACTTTTCAACTAATTCATTCGAACCTTAAAGTAACCCTTTGATAATCGCCAGTGGATAAAACCCTAATCCAATTACAAGCGATAAGAATCCAATTATCCTCAACAAACGAATGAAGCGATGATCAGATAAACAAATCAACAAATTAAAGCAATAAAAACTTTCTAAAAAAGGAAAGAATTCAGCTGATCATTTGTTAACTATAATCAGAAGCCCATTCGATAATCAAGGAAAAAAATGTAAACGAAGTGAAATTTCGATCTTTTAATTAAAAAGTTTCCAAAATTGAAATGGCAACAGCTTCGGGTGCCCCAGTGATGCTGATGAAAGTCTCGATTGCGGCTTGATTAGGTCTCGCCATTGCGAAATTAGGGTTCTTTTTCTTTTAATTTAGTTTGTTTTGCAGCTTATAATTTCAGTTTAAAATGGAGAGAGAAAAATGATAACTTAGTTTGGAGCAGTCATGAAGCAACAGGCCCTTTTATAGAACGGTTTGTTTGGAGAAGAAGACATTAATTTTGTTTTTATTTATTTATCTATTTTTATTTTAAGTGTTTTATCCATTTTTTATTAAATAGTTTCTTTAAAGATCTAACAGAAAAATCCGAATATGAGACTAAATAAAATTTTAAATATTTATTTTTGATAAAAAGTAATTTAAACATTTATGAAAAAATAACATAATTTAATTTAAATATTTACTTTTCAATTAAACTTACTTTTTTATGTTTTTTTTGAACTATAAGATATGAATTGTTTTTAAAAGAAGTTTTAGTTAAAGCTGATTACGGCATTTCTGTTTTGTTTGGTATAAACACGAAATTATAAATTTTAGGGTAAACTATGTATTCAGTCATTCGATTATATTTTTTTATTCTGTTTTGATCGTTGAATCATTTTTTTTTTACAAAATCATGTCTACCGTTGTATTGTAGTTCCTTTCTTATACTTGTTGCTAAAAATTAAATAGAACCGTTGAACGATAATACTGTCATTAAGGTGGTGTTTGTTTTTGTAGAGGTAAAAGGTCTGCAGTCTGCGGACCACATCTGCAAGCATCTGCAGTAAAAAAGGTGGGCCAAAAGTCTGCAGTCTGCAAGAAGAAGACTGTTTGTTTTTTAACGTCTGCAGACTGCTAAAATGAATTGAAATATAAATAAACTGATTTTTTAAACTTAAAAGAGTTTTGCAATATTGAAATTTAAATAATTTTAATTTTACAATACTGAAATTTAAATAATCCATACAACTACAATAATAAATTATTTAAAATAAATCAATCCATATTTTAAAATAAATTAATTCATATTAATAAATTATTTAAAATAAATCAATCCATACAACTACAATAATAAATCAATCCATATTTTAAAATAAATCAATCCATACAAATAAATTATTTAAAATAAATCAGTCCATACTAATAAATTATTTAAAATAAATCAATCCATATTTTAAAATAAATCAATTCATACTAATAAATTATTTAAAATAAATCAATTCATACAACTACAATAATAAATCAATCCATATTTTAAAATAAATCAACCCATACTAATAAATTATTTAAAATAAATCAATCCATACTAATAAATTATTTTAAATAAATTATTTTAAAATAAATCAATTCATATTTTATAATAAATTATTTTAAAATAAATTATTTTATAATAAATTATTTTAAAAAATTATTTTAAAATAAATAACCTTATTAAATTATTTAAAATTATTTTAATAAATAACTATATTTTATAATTGTTCTTGAAGAGGTTTGAAGACCTTTGAAGACATAAAACCAAGTCTGCACCAAGAAGAGCTCGCGCAGACGTTTGAAGAGCTTCTGTCTTCTAAAAAATAAACAGTATGCGAAGCCTAATGTCTGTGCGACACAGACATAAGTGGTTTGAAGAGATTACACAGTGAAAACAAACTCCACCTAAGTCTCTTGTGGAAGAAGGGGCCAATTTTGGTTTTTGCATCAGTATGCACATGCAACAACCACAACTATTTTCACCGTAAATTGGATGATCATGACAAAAGAAGGAAGAAAAACAATTATAAATATACGCAGAGCCATTTAAAAACCATGCAAGTAAACCTTGATGTTTTTCGAGTCAACAAACTCGAACACATCGATCTTTAGAGACCCTGTAGACGGAACTTCAGACCTGCACTTCCCTGACTACATTACAATGCAACATCAAAGACCATATCTCTGACAACAAGTCCTATGATCTTTCATATAAAAAATGGTTGCACCAAGTTTAGTCCCATTGATGTGGTCATTCATAAGTCCATTGTACGGTAAAATCCCAGCTTCAAGTAGTTCATTCTTAACCGCATATGATTCTCCATAGATAAGTAAGATGATGAAGAGAATGATGATGTAAATGAGAATGGAGATGAAGGGTTTAATCGAAAGGAAGAAGATGGTGAGATTTTATTGAAGGGAGATGATACGAGATCCAGTAGTGGGATACAAGTGTTGATAAATAAAAGGGGCGGATGAATAATAAGAAAAAGAAAGGGAGTAAAAGAATTGAGAGAACTTGGAAGTACGTATTACGAAACTTACGGTAACATCTATCGGTGAATGTCTAATTTATTATAAGTCTAACGTTAGTGATCAAATCGTTAGATTTTAAACATCGTTAGGAAAGAGAAAATTTTACCCAAACATGAGTGACTTTTTATGTAATTTACTCTAAAATTTGTTTAATAGTTTGTCGGAATTGTAAGATTAAGTGAGCATTTGAGTGTTTGACTGGGAAAGTTCGATTTGGAAAAATCAACATATACACCCTTTATTTATTCCATTGTTTTGGTATATAGTCGGAAAACTCATTATTTCGCAATTACTGGTAATATTATAATATTATTAATATGCACAAAATTTATGGGAGTCGTCTTCTCTGTGAGCTTCCCCTTCTTCTCGCTCTCTGTTTCAATCTCTCTGCAAATGCATCTGATGAATCCTTCCAAAACCATTATTTCTTTTACTTATTTTAACTTGTTTTGAGCTGTAGAAGACAAGAAACTATGGGCAAAGCTTCCAGATGGTTGCGCAGTATTTTCGGCCTCAAAAGAATGGACGCCCATCGACAACCTTCGTCCCCCAAACCACATCATAAAGACAAACGCCCTTGGAGCTTCGTCAAATCATACCGTGCAAAGAGCCCCTCCTTCTCCTCCTCCGCCCCTGCCGCCGTAGACACAAACAGCAGCAGCGGTAGCAGTTATGTGAAGTTGGCTTCGTCGTCGATAGACGTTGATCATCAACAAGACAACAACAGAAGGAATATGTTGAGGTAGTGGATCCAAACAAGCACGCCATCGCCGCGGCTGCCGTAGCAGGCACAACAGTGACGGGACTAACCAGTGGCAGTGACTTGTGCGTTCAAAAATCGGCGGATAACGTCAGCAGCAGCGAATCGCGCCGGGAAATTGCTGCGGTTATGATACAATCCGCATTTCGTGGATATCTGGTAAAAAAACATATTACGACCCCTTCTTCTTCCTTTTTTCTGTTTGTTTCTCGTCATTAATTTTGATGAGAATTTTCCGGGATTTACGAACCGAAATTCCGTGGCGTCGAACCTTCATCCTGTTTTCGTAAAAACGAAAGCGGAAACATTTACCCTTATTTTTTTCGATCCTATAAATTGGGGGAACTGTATTTGTAATGAATAGGAAGCAACGCTAAGAAACTGATTTGTTCCATTGCTGAATTTGGCTATCTAAAACCACGTCGTTTTCTTGTCTTGTCCTCTTCACCGGCAATGAAACCTACCGATCAAGCTTCTGTTTTTATTACATCTGAGTTGTCTCCCGTGAGCAGGGACAGGGCGAGCAAGTGTCCACGTTGAAATCAGATTTTTTTTATATTAATTATTTATTTTATTAAAAGTATCTATTCTGAAATTTTATTTATGTCAATTCAGTAGTAAAATTTTTTGTTATTAATATATTTGTGTCTACCTTAAAAACTTTTTCTAGATCCGCAACTACTCATGAGCCATGAGCAGTGCTGATCATTGGTAGAGTCAAGTCGGATTCTTGATATATTGGAATTCAACTCGGAAATTAAATTTTTTTTCACTCATTATATTCGAGTTTAAGATAATTCTATCCTACATGAAATTCGATTCAATTTTTCACTCCACCTTTTAGAAAAACTTGATTAATTAAGGTGAAATATTCGTATCTACTCATAGGTGCATGGCATTACGTAAAGATGTCGTTAGCATGCACTGCACTGGGTTGCACAATGAGCTCCCCTCCCAAAAAAAATGGCATGCCCCCCTTGTTATATCCGGCAAAGTCATCTTCAACCTTCTCCTACTTTAGAAAATTCGCATCCCATTTCTATGGTCATGACGTTTTCAAGCATTTGGTGTTGGTGGTGCACTGAATTTACTTCGTGGGGTTTTGGGTGGTTGAGCAATTTGATTATCTTTCTGGGTTTCTTCGAGTAGACCATTCATTGATTGTATGGTAGAGCATTATACAACCACAATTAGTTGGGTAAATCATCTAATTTGGGGTGTTAATCAAATCTTGGATTCGTTAATCCATTGATGAATGTTTGTACGTTGTTGCCGTCTTTATTGTTGAAAGCTCGAAAAGAATGCTCCAACAACCCCCTCTTTAGTAGCTTACCATATTTGAAGAATGAACCCAATTGTCTGCATTTTCTCAAAGACTTTGAATGTGATGGAGCTTTTTGTTGAAAATTCTGCACCGAAAGTGCATGAAATTTGTCAAAAAGGATGCACCAAATGAAGTAAAAAATGGGCACCGAAAAGGGTTGTAAATTGTTGAATTTTTGGCATGATAAAATCATAAATTTAGTCTTTATACTTTAAGATATTTACAAGATTAGTCTTTAAGCTTCATCCCAAATCATTATAGTTTTTCTCAATAGAGAGTTTTCTTGAGAGTTGTTTTCTCCTTTTTATCAAGAGAGAATTGTTATTGTTTTCTCCTTGTTAAATCGAGAGAAGTTGTAATTCCAATTTTCTCATAGTGAAATTCGTCTACTTTTGTCCATGTTTTTTACCATATATTATTTAGGGATTTTCGACGTAAAATTTATGTCTTCTTTATCTTCATTTTTATTTTTTCAAATTATCAGTTACCGTATTCCGTAACACTTTTTTAAGAAAATGGAGAACTGGGTTGAATCTTCAGGTTAATGGGTAGTTGGGTTTTCTGCTTGAAGGTGTGGGTCCAAAACTTTGGAAATATTATGGTGGTTGCAATATTAATGTGTGTTCCTTAGGGTTTTTTTTTTTACTTTTTTTTTTTGGAGGTGGTTTAAAAGATTGATGATAGTTGGATTTGTTGCTTTGAATTGTTATGTTGGTCCGACTCTTTCTCGGATATCAACATGTTCATTAATGGTTATATTGCTTTGAAAGCTTAGGTACTAAAACGTATCAAAACTGATGGTTTATGTATTAAATGCGTTAAGTTTTTAACATGAGGTTATTAAAATGAAACAAAAACTAAACATTACGTATGATTTTGAAAAAAAATTAAAAGTTTAAGTACTAAAATAGACAAAACTGATAGTTTAATTACTAAATGAATAATTTTTCCTAAAAAAGTGTTATACTTTGAGGAATTTTAAAAACTAAATAGACATACTACTAAGAAAATGTTTTTAGCATTCAATAAAATAATCATTTTGATTTTGATTTTTGTAATTACTTTCACTTTTAACGTTTTAGATAAAATGACCGTTGAATGAAATTCGTTAATTGACTATCTGTTAATATTTGTCGTTGATGTGTCATATAACATTCGTCTAAAGTAATGATATGAACATGTGCACATGTGATAGTGTGACACGTGGTACGAGTACATAAGTGGTGATTTAATATATGCCATATATTCAAAGTGGTGAGGTGATACATAAGTGATGATATAACATATGTCATGGTATCAAAATGATAATATGACACATTCTATACGTAAATAAGTTATGATATGACATATATTATTTATGCAAAGTGTTGACACGGCATATTCTTTTTTATTTATTAATTTATGATGTTTATAAGTGATGATGTGATGCATGATATCTATACATATATATATGAATTCATGAAATTTTAAGAGGATAAAAATATATATTAAATCAAAAATATAAAAAATAAATAAAATTTTAAAATTTTCAAGTACTGTCCTTCCGTAACCCCATTATTGTTTAATGTTTTCAAAGACTCGTGATGATTCTTTCAAAACGCTATGAAAAGCCTTTCGTAAATCAATTTTTGAAGTGGTTCCAACAGAGTATAATCCACAATGTGTCTTCCTCGGATAAAATCACTTTGATTAAAAGCTATCATTTGAGGGAAATACCCTGACAACCTCTAACTAATATTTCTGTAATACTCTTATGAAAGATAAGCATAAATTCCTTCACCATATCCATTAGGGTTTTCAACATTAAAATCCAACACAATAGATGTAGCATTGAAAGCAGACAAAAGATTCGGACTGGGGGAAGAAGAGCTTCAACCAAATCATCACCAATGAAAAATTCAATACTATCCAGTTCAATTGTCCTTAGTGGTCCAACTATGTCTCCTTCAATCCTTGGCATTGGTCTATACGTGTTAAAAAGAACATTTAATCCCATCGTCAACCTTATTATATAACACCGTTACATGCATGTGGATAACACACCTATCGTTATCATGCAACAGTCGGACTCGAACAATTGTTATTGGGTAATCGTACCCTATAAACAAATAAAAAATATATAACCTATATTGAACAAAAAATACTTATTTTTTTTATTAAGCATTTTTCAAACAAATGGAACTGAGAAAAAGCTACCCAAAATCCAACCTCTGCCAACCTAATGTTAATAAAGACTTTAAATACACAATTGTACAAATTAAGGTTTCGGTCTTAAATGGATCAAACCGAGAATTTGACTTTTACTTCATCCGGTTCCTTCGTTTTTGTTATCAGAAAATGGTTCTCGGGTCAACCCGATTTGATACTCGGTGTTCTCTCCCTTGTATGCCTAGACCCGGATCCAAATCCGAAGAATCTCACATTGCAGAACGCCACCGCCACGTTCCGGGTTCCGATCACGTGATTCCTCGAAAAACGCTCCTGTCGAGACCGTGCTCCTTTCACCCATTGACATGCAAGTATAAACGACAGATCTGTGAATTACTTCCCGAGCTCCAGCCACGTGGAATCCTGATCATCCGTCTTCCCATCCAATGGTTCATCTTTAACCTCAGAACCAGGCTCAACAACCAGCTGCTGTACTTGATTATTGTCCTGCTCCTCACCCTCTCGTCTCATTCGCTTTACCCCAATGGAAACTCCGAACAACTTCGGCGTCACATCCTCCCCAGCCTCCCCTTGCTCCCCATCCTCCGTCTCCATCGCCGCCTTCGAACCACCATCCTCCATCTCTCTTGCCGGATCCCCCGCCGGCAAAAGATCCAACGCCTTCCCTTCCCCCACGCTCTGGTGATTCTCCGACTGACCCGAAGCATAGTTCGACACCAAAGCGAATATGCTGTTACACAGTCCCTTCAACCGAGTCAACTCCTGGTTCAGCTGTATGTTTTCTTTCCTAAGCCTGTCGTTATCCTCTAAAAGCTCCGGCATCGTTGTGCAACTCGTGCTCCGCTGTAGAGCGGTGGCGACTGGAGGCGTGCTCGACAAAACAACCTGCTCCTCCCCCGAATTAGACGGTGATGCTGATACTTCGGTACAAGGAACCGCCGCAACGGTCACCGTCCCGGAAGCAGCAGCAACGGTAACAGTTATTTTCCGGCGCTGTATGTCTCGCAGAAGCCCTTTCTCGCCTCTTCGAAAACAATCGTTAGCGAACTCCCATCGATCCGGCACTACCTTCCTGAAACCCTAAAATAACAAGAAGAATATATATTCATTATACTTAGAAAAAAGAAAAAAGAACTTGATTAAGCTGATTATTATTAGCCTTAGCACTTACATATGTGTTTAGTTGGCGGACGAAGCTAGAGAAGTTATTATGTTTGAAGTATTTAGGGAGCAAATCACCAGCGAACTCAGCAGGGCGCCAAACGATGAAACTCGACCCGTCGTCATTCCATGATATCAACTCATCAATGGAAGGATCATCAACAAGTTGATAGGTTTTGGTAAGGAACGGAGTAGGTAAAGATCGTTGGGACTCGATAACAGTACCGCCAACGGCGGGGGACTCGCCGGGTTGGTCGGCCGGTAATGATGTCATGTGGCTCGGCTATAAGAACCGAACCCTATAAAACAGGATTTCTCCGGCTATATAGATTCGTTCGGCGTGCCTTAACTGGTCGGTAAATAAACTCAAATTAGATTAATGAATAAAAAATAAACAATGGAACCGTTTGGTATCCGAGAAAGTGCGAGAAAAAGAATTAATACTCCTCTACCTTCGATATTTCTAGCTAAAAATATCTAGCCTAGCATAACTTATTTCAGTTTCGTAAAAACATTAACACAATTTCCAGATACCATGATCAGTTTCTTGATCATGTAATCTTTTTGACCTAAGTAATAATTATAAACAAACATTTTAACATCAATTCATTTGTTTCTTAAATCATAAAGCATACATTAAAAATCAGAGTCTTCAAATCTAACTGAAAATAATTAATAAGATATTATAGGAGTATTGAAAGCTAATTATTCTTACCTGAAAGGAAGCGAGAATTTCAAAGCAACCAAACAAGAAGTAAGAAACGTAGCTCATTCGACCAGACAAAGTTGAACCGAAAGATTCCAACGCCGTGAGCGGAGTAGAAGACGGCGCGTCGACTGCGAGGGATCGGCCGTTAGGTTTTGTGGTTAGTTCTAGAATGTTCAGGGTGGAGTAAATGATAAGGGAGAAGGCAAAGAAAATAAGAGAAATAGTGGGTTCGAGAAGGAAACGGAAATAAAAAGATTTAATAAAAAAAACAATAATTTCTTTTTAGAAAAAGTGAAAAAGATAGACAAGAGGTGCGAAGTACGTGGGACCCACGCGCACACTGCGAAACAAAATGAAGGCGCCAGAAGCAGAAGAGTGCCCCTTCTTTTTTTTTAATGTTTTACTTATCGTCTTCGAGAAACTTCCCTCCCTTCTTTGATCCCGTAGTAGTCCGGTAAAACAGTAAACAGTAAAATTTTGTATTATTGCATCCTGACCATGTTGTCTGTCTCCGTGTCGGAATGGGAACGGTTGTCGGATTTTATATCAAAGATATATCACGTTAGACCTGTGCTATGGCACAAAAAAAAAAGATTGAAATTCGGTTTAATCTAATTTTCTTTTGAAATGTAAAATTTCATGATATATAGTCTAATGAGTAAAAAATATTAATAAGTGAGACAACAACGTCCAGATATGAATTATTTCGATGTTTTAAAACATCATACTAAAAGAAAAAAACTTGAATAATATCAAAATAAATAAATGAAAATTAAATTCTCCCTTAATTACATTCTTGTCTAACATATATATATTTGAGAATTAACAGAATATATATACAAACGAACAAATGAACCGCACATTGAAAAAGAAAACAATCATAAAACTTCGAAGAATCATGGACCAAGAAGAAAATTAAAAGAAGAAACTTGCACCGAAAATTTAGAAATACAGATAGTCATGGTACCCTTTACTTGAAGAATGACTAAAAAATATTATTTTAAATACGTTAAAATATAATTAAAAAGTAATAAAATATAATAACAAACAATTTAAGAAAATAAAAATGATAAGGAAGTGGTCAGAGGGGCCACCACCGGTGCCCTTGATGAAAAGCTTGTGGTAACTGTGAGGTAATTTTGTATATTCATAAATTATATAAAATCGATTAATATTTACAAATTATTTCTAATAATATTATAAATATTAGGATAAATTACACCGTATACCTCTAAACTTTAAGTGCTAACTCTTGTATGTCATCAAATTTTTAATTTTTTTAAATGTTAACACTGTCTCGTTAATGGCTTGATGGGATGATCATATAATAGCTCTGCGTCGTGACGTTGCTGACGTGATTATCTCACTAAAATGACGTCATTTTATTTGAATTTTTTTTAAAAAAAATTATACTTAGGGGGTTTGAACTCTACACTCATTGAATTATAAATTAAAGCTTAATCATTATTCCAACCTAAATTTTTGTTAAATTTTTATAAAATTTCTAAATTTCTGAAATTTCAGTTAAAATTAATTCTAAAATTTTAAACAACATAGAGACTAAATTCAAAATTTTCAATTATATTTTTATTTGTTCTTCTTCTTCATCATCATCTTCATCCACATACCATTTTTTTTATTCATTCACAAACCGATAGTACACATTTCAATTCTTCTTTACCATATGTCGTAACATTCCTTTGGGTGGGTCCGAAATTGGGCTTCGACTTAAATAAATATGTTAGAGTCGTCACCGATCATTTAAAATTAGGTTGATCGGATACCTTAATTTACTGTCTTGCCTAATCCACGTTTTACTAGAAATATTCCTGGTAGCTTTTGGAGAAGGCTTTGATTTTTTTGCTATATTCGAATGGTTTCTTTGTCTGGTTTGCTTGGTATTTTTTTGTTTGGTTTGCTCGATCTTCTCTCTGTGATTTGTTGTGTGGTTGCTGTGATTTTTCTTGTGTCTTGTTTTGATGATTCTCAGGGTTTATATAACCCCGCCGGTAGTGGTTGTTGCCGGGTTTTTCGGGATGGTGCAGTCCCGTTCGACATGATTCTTGTTTGTTTCATAATGTGCTCCGATTTTCCGCAATTTTCAGTTTCAGGTGCTGGAAATCTCGGTCGATGGGTGACTTGACTGGCGCGTGGCCTTTAAGCGCTGTTGAAATGGTGACTTAATGTATTTTTGGTTGTTGGATCGAAAAACATGATCCAGCGACCTTGGTTGATTGCGGTGTTGGACTTTGGTGGAAGTTAGGGTTTCTCAAATTTGTTTCGGGTTTTTTGCACTTTTGGGCTATTGCTTCTTGGGCCTCAAACGGGCTCACATACTGGGTCAGACTTGTGAGCCTGGTTGGGTCTGGCTGCCAATAGGGATGGCAACGGGGCAGTTTCGGGCCGAGGATTGGTCCCCCAGTCCCCGTCCCCATTTAAAAAACTCGTACCCGTACCCGCTTAAAAAACTGTGAAGATTTAAACGAGGATCCCCATCGGGTAATCGGGGAAAACCGCGAGGAAACGTGTATCTCCGTTTACCTTATATGGTTATTTTTCACCGCGGGGATCCCCGTTACCGTTTAAATTTCACACGATGACACGAGTTATTTAAAAAATAATGTCATTATCGGATCTTAAACGTACTTGAAACATCAAACACCACCAAATGCATCCAAAATATAAAAACAAAACAATTCAAATAGACAAATATAATGACAACGACTAATAATATAATGTTTCAACTTTCATAAACGAGTAGCAGCAATGAAAGTGACGAGTAGGTCAAGATGTGTTCTCCTAAATCCTAATCTCCTTTATATATTTTTTTAATTTAAATTAAATTTATTAATATTATATATATATATAATTATTTTTAATATTTATCGGGGCAGGTATTGGGGCGGGAATTACCAAACCCGTCCCCGTTTATCATCCCCGAACCCGACCCATTTAATTCGGTTTTCAATTTTTCCCGACGAGTTCGATTTTTTTACCATCCCTAGTTGCCAACCAGATTGTTGCCTTGGACTTGGACCACCCGAATTTGACCTTGGACTTGGACCTAGACCTAATTGGATCGAAAAATAAAAGAATAAATAAAAATAAAAACGGAAAATAAAGCATGTGGAACTCTAATAATAATAATATGTACATACTTCGAACGCTTTCAAAAACTATATTATATACATTTTCAAAAATATTTTAAAAACGGTATATTATATGTTTTCAAAATCGATTTTTAAAAAACTATATATTATATGCTTTCAAAAAATCATTTTCTAAAAACTATATATTATATGTTTTTCAAAAATATTTTCAAAAACTATATTATATTATTATATATATAAGCCTGAACGAAAATGATTGACTACACCATATAAAGAAAGTTTCTTATAAGGAAAAAATGCGTTTTCTTCTGATCTTACTCAGTGCTAGTAACAACTTCAACACTAACTTTTCGCCTAAAGTTCATTAGAAAAAAGAATTCTACCATTGAAACCCAAGAGCCTTCTTGGCCTAAAGTAACTTTCATGGGTCATGTTTCGGCCTAAAGCCATGGAACAAATGAAGAAATAGAGCAAGAAAATAGAGTATCTAAAGAAAATGAAGAGAGATGTGATTTAGAGAGAGAGTCCATTTGTAAAAACAGATTCCAAATGGTTTTGAAAATCAATGAAAATCCAATTTCGCAGTGCTTTTACCATAGCCTGTCGTCGTCGAAATTCTCCTTCTTACTTCCTATTTTTACCGTTGAAGAGAAGAGAACGAAACAGATAAATTTGTGATTTAGGAGTGTAAATGAAGTAAATAAAAAGGGTTAAAATTTCAACAAGTATCCTACATGGATTAAATGATTTTAATTAAACCGTCCACATTATTTCTGACACAGCGCAAAGCTATCATGTCATCATCCCATTAAGGCATTAACGATGGGTTGGCATAATTACAGCTAAAAATAAACGTTAGTGTTAAAATTGACAAAATTAAAAGTTCAGTAACATAAACGAGTCAATGCTTAAAGTTTGATTATATCTAATGTAGTTTACCCTAAATATTAACATTATTAAATACATATTTATATTATTATTTTATAATATTTTTTAAAAGTAAATATTTTTTTTACTTTTTCTGAATATAAATTAAAAAAACTATTTACGTATATTACTCTTTAAATTTTACAAATAATCTAAACTCGACTAGATATGGACTCGAACGTAACATATGATTGATGAGGCTCGTCAGGTTTAATGCAACGAGTCAATTATGTGTGGATATTAGTGAGCCCAAGAGCTTCAACACTATGGACTCGAACGTAACATATGGACTCGAGCGTATTATCAAATGGTTAAAAATATTTAAAACAAATACTAAACCCTAAACCCATTGTTTAATAGCTTCAACACTATCCAGTTTTTTATCCAATAATTAACCCTACGTTTGGATAAATATTAGTAAAAGTTGAAAAAGTTAAAGAAGAAATGGATACATTTATTTTCTGTTTGAATATTTAAAAATTACAAAAATTGGAAATTTTTAATATATCATGTTTGGATAAACTGTGGAAATATAATGAAATGATTTGGTTTTTACGAAAATTATAATATATTTTTTAAATGATTTTTATTAGATTAGGGTGATTATAATAAAGCAGTATAATTGATAATTTAAACTCACACATTTTGTAAATTCTTTTTTTAATAGTATATTGTGATAATTCATAGAGTAATAATATTATAATAAAGTAAATAAAGTGTAAAAATCATATTCATTTTTAGGTATTTGAAGAATTGAAAACTGTATAAAGATGACAAAGTGTAAATTAGGTAAGTTTTATTACATAATTAAATCAATATTAATTAATTAATTAATAATTAAAATGTATGTTCTTCAAATAAATTGATAGTAAAATTTATTTATATACATTGCTTGATGATTAAAAAATTTCAGGAGTTATCTGTTGCTTAAGAAGATTAAATCTATATTTCAGAATATTGAGTTTTGAAACTTATACTTTAATAAATTTAAGAGTTTCGAAATTTCACTTTTAATTTCAAAATTGAGAAGTAAAAATTTGAAATTTACACTTCAATAGGTTTAAAGTTTTTGATATAAGATTCGATATAAAATTATCCCCAACATTTATATAACTGGTCATTTTGCTCTCTATCCTTCTTTTCAGAACATTTTAATCCTCAACGTTTTATTTTTTAGCAAAATCACCATTGGTTGGATGAAAATTGTTAATTGACTAAATGTTAATGTTTCATACGAACGTGACAAGTGCA